CAATAATTAAAAAGAATCTTGGGATCCTTTGCAGGTTTAGAGAAAGGGAGGACAACAGCCTGGCACCAAGCATCAGGAAAAACATTCTCCTGCCAGATCCGGTTAAAACAACCAGAAGAATGGCAAGAGAGGCAGGAGAGAGATGGAGCAGCATCTCATAGTGAACTTCATCAGGTCCAACTGATGTACTGCCAGACCGCTGAATAGCAAGTTTGAGTTCCACCAGTGTAAAGGGGCAATTATAGTTATAAAGACAATTGGCCCGAAAGGAAAAAGGTGATCGCTCTGCTTGAGGCTTGATGGCCAAGAAGGTGGGGGAAGAAACAGAAGTGCTGGATGCACGAGAAAAGCACGCACCAAGAGTATCAGTGATGCTCTGTACATCAGCAACTTCATAGCGATTGGAGAGCAAGATGGAAAGATGATGGGAGGCATACCGCCCATTGACCTTCCAAATCTTGTCCCATATGAATTTGGCACTGGTGGTAGAAGAGATGCTAGTTGTAAACTTAATCCAAGATTCCTTTTGGCTTTGATGTCTGACCTGCTGAACATGAGCACAGGCCCACTGGAAAGCAATGCAGTTCGAAAGAGTAGGATACCTTTTGCAGGTATCTCAGGCCAGTGTTTGAGCCTTTGTGCCACCTGCAAGACAGGACTCCACCATGGACGAGGATACTGTGGAAAATGTGTCGAGGTCTTAGGAATAGAATGAGCAGATGCCTGGAATGTACAGTCAGTCACTGCTACCATGCAGTCATCACTTGATGGCAGACAGACGATGGCAGGATCAAGTTCCGAGAGAGCAGTGAAAGAGGGCCACTTAGCTTGGTCCAACTTCCACCATGGCACTCGGGTCGGGTGGCATCAACCACAGACAATCTCCCTCAAAATGATAGGGAAAAGAAAGATCACTGCCCTGCAGGTCACTGTCAACCTTCCAGGAAAAGTGGGAGAAAAATAAAAGGGGAAGCATATCGACAGATCAATGGCAGTAAAAGACTGACTAGGCATATGAAAATGAGTATAAGAACCAGTATTCAAGGGTGAAAGGTCGTGATCCGAGAGCATATGTTCTACAGAACGACCCCTCCCATCAGTATCAGCACCACCCCAGAGGGGATTGTGTTCATTAAAGTCTCCCAGGTATAAAAAGGAAGATGGCAAATGTTCAACGAGAGCATCAAGGTCTGATTGATCATAAGTATCTCTAGGAGACAGGTAGAGAAACAAACAGTGATGGTATGATCCAAAGAAACACAGATGACTATGGCCTCCAAGGGTGTATCAAATGACACAGACAAGGTGGACACATGCTGGTCGACCAGCAGTGCCACTCCTCCATGCAGTCGTTTATCACACAATCTGTCATTCTGGTATAAAGAAAACTGCCGAAAGGTGACTGTATCGGCAGGTTTCAGGAAAGTTTCCTGTAAGGAAAGATACATGGGATGATAAGAATTGATCAAGGCCTTAATGCGAAAACTGACAGTTCCACTGTATCAAAGTGGCCATTTTATGTAGGTTTAAGAGAACATGGTGGAGAACCCTTCGGTTTACGACCACGCCGTTTTTCTTTGCTAGATGGAGGTCGATTGACCTCGATGAATCCTGGCCTTGTTCAAGCGGGCAGATCACTGTCATCAGAGTGAAAATCCAATGACTGAGGACGTGATCGTTTGATTGTCCTGCATTTAGGGGCCAAAGAAGGACCTGCACAGACGCCAGAGGCTGGTGCCCGAGGAGGTTGACCCAGGCTGTCACTGGAAGGAATAGTGGGGACAGAGATTGGAGTAGATGTAGACCTATCAACTCTATTATCCATGGAGGGCAGAAGACCTTTCACATGGTGTGAAAAAAGACTCAGATGGAGACACAGAAAGGTCCGTCTGTGCGCCCACTGTAGCAGTGGAGCGTAGTGCAGTGGTATATGTCCGATATGGAGTAGGGAACAATAGCTTCCAAGCCTCTGGATGTTTAGATCCCAGAGGAAGTAACTGAAAATACAGAACCTTCCCTGGGAGGTCCCCTCACCACGTACAGGAATCCACATTGAGGGGTTTTGGCATATTGATAACCACATGTTGTAAAAATCTATGAGATTACAATTGTAGAATTTATATTACTGCTATAATGAGCCAAAACTAATCAATTAATTAATCATTTCATCTCAATCATCCCTTAAATGATCAGAAATCTTATCCTCAGTTACGTTGACTAAAATGACTGGTCATTCAACCAATGATGTATATTTATAGTGAGTGATGCCATTTTTTCTCAGCAGTCATTTGGAAATAAATTACATAGTTTAAAGTTCTCCAAACTGTTCATAAACCATGATTTGATCACAAAGAAGACATCTGGATGTTTCAATCATTAATTGAAGAAGGAAACAAGTGTTTGCTTACAAACCAATGGCACAGTAGCTCAGGCATTTGACAAGAAAGACCATCATTCACAATATAAGTAGGTTACTGGTCACTGTTGATTCTGGCTCGACAGTTGTGGAGTGACTGCTCTGAGATTTAATCAAATGTTTGTAGCCACAGACCTTGTAAGACCAAACTGTATGTCAGATGACCCATGAGGTGCAGTGGCAAAAGTTGAAAGGTTCTAGGTATAAGCTCACCTGGAGTCATCACTGGTGCAGATCATAATGGTGGCAGCAACTACCAATTACTAACTAGACCTCACTAGGAATGGAATATTATGTACAGTTTTGGTCTGCTTGGTTAAGTATGATTTATTGGAAAGGGTTCAAAGGAGGGTTACTAGGATGATTCCATGGACGTAAGGGTTAGCTTATAAGGATAAGTGATCTCTTATTTCCACTTGAGAAAAGAAGGATAAAAGATGATTTATTAAGGTTTATAAGAATTATCAAAGGTACTTATAGGATAGAGGTTTCTCATTTCTTTGTGCAGTATTCTGAAGACAATAAGGCTAGTGGACCCGAGCTTAACATTTGAAAAAAAGATAAAACTAAGTTAAAACATATATCTAATGAGGGAACCCTAGTATTTCTATAAACTTTATCTTCTCTTAGAAAACTGGAATTAAAACCCATAACAAAACAATTTAATTCTTCACAATAAACAAACTTAACATAAATATAAAGGACTAGCAGAGTACCTGGCATTGCTCAGATGAAAATGGCTTTAAATATCCCGAGTTGTTTGGATTAAATCAACCATATTAATTGTGATTTTTTGCCATAAAGATTTCTTTACCAAACTAAATATTTTGATTAAAATTAATAAAAATAACAATGTCCAAAAATAAAATAAAAATTTGCTAAAGCTAATTGAATTAAAGCAAAACCGGGTACATTGCTCCTGCTTCTTGCATGTGCTTTGTACGACATTTCAAGTTTCCAAAACAAAAATAGCTACCGTTTGGTGTCCTCATTTCTGCTGTGTGGTCAATTGTAGTTTGCAGTGTATTCTGCCTTTATTATCGTTCCATTTAATGAAGGGTTGATATATTCTCTTCTCATTGCAACACAACATAAATGAAAATTTGCCGATAACAAACGTTTTTGTAAAGTCATCGTATAGCTGATTCTTGCGAGTACACACAAGCAAAGCATAAGACATAACTGAAGCAAGCCTATTTAGTTGAGAGAGTGTGTGCACACATGTTGGAGAGAAAGCACCAGCATTTTTCACTAAAGAGGAGTTAGAGAGTAGATATGTATGTGTAGAAGAAGAAAGAGAGGGGGAAGAAAAGAGCAGAGAAATAAATGAAGGCTGTGTGTCATTTTTTAATCCTTTTAACACATAATTGATCACGGATAGAACGATTAGGAGAAGTCTTCACGTGGAAAAGAAACGTAAATACTAGCCCTCTTGATCACACATTACCAAAAAATCTGGCCTTTTTAATTTGAGATCAATTGGTCATCCTGTTTGCCAAAAATTGCTATATTGGTCACTTTGGCCTCAATTTGCAGCTTCAAAACAACCTCTGAGGCCATGGCCACATAGCCCAAGTTACTTCCTGCACAAAGTTGCATCTATACCCCAAGTTTGGAGTTTGTAGCTTTAAAGATGTGGCCATGCATAAGGAACAGACCCACAGAGTTAGAGATACTGATGATTATAGATAGATAGATAACCCGAGATACTTATGATTATAGATAAATATATAGATAACCCTTTTACATTTATAAAATGTCCTATTTACATAACTGTTGCTTAAACAATTTAAAACATACATTCTATTATCTTTCACCAACTGAGAAAGCTTCACTGAAAAAGTGAAATGTCTTGGTATAGAATTTCTTTTAGTAGCCCGATAGAAGCCAACATGTTTTTGAACTCTGGTTAAGAGTTTAATTTTTCTAACAAGCTGATTAGCTTATGAAATGAATTAACAGTAATGAAGGCCAGCACTTCACAGGAGTTTAACAGGACTTCAACACTTCACAGGAGTTTAATAGGACTTCAACACTTCACAGGAGTTTAACAGGACTTCAACACTTCACAGGAGTTTAACAGGACTTCAACACTTCACAGGAGTTTAACAGGACTTAACACTTCACAGGAGTTTAACAGGACTTCAACACTTCACGGGAGTTTAACAGGACTTCAACACTTCACAGGAGTTTAAGTGATGATTTCTGATAAATAAATGATGGGTTTAAATTTCTACTTTTTTAGGGTGGGTGTGGAAAGAAGCCTTAAAGGACCAAATGGTCCTTTGTTATTCATATATTATATTATTGCAGCACAGAGAAAACAACAACAAAATTAAATTACTGTTTATTCATTGACAAGAATCCTGTACACTTGCACAGCTGGTTTGGCAAGACAAGTTTTCTTCTTAGTCCCAGTCAAACTAGCAAATAAAAGTTTCCAAGATCTTAAAATATTCAGTCAGTTATATAAAGGTAGGATCCCTAAATTGTGTTCATATTAGTCAATCTGATAAGGTCATTTTAAGTTTTAATCTACACATAAGGGTATTTGATATCATATAGCTTATGAAAGAATTCATACCTGGTGTACAATGTCTGGACGACACTGTCCTGGGTTTTTATTGTATTTCTTCATTTGTGATTGATGGTCATCACAATTCAAAAGCTCAAAATTCTTCCCAACCTGAAGATACAATACAAAATCAAAGTTTTAGATAAACACATGTATATTATATGAATAATGCCAGCTACCATACAACAAAGACTTCCTCACAAAACACTAACTACTTTAAACTAAAGACCAATTTTCCCAGATATATAAATTCATGCAAGTATTTATTCTACATCTGACAGTAATATGAATATAAAGTTGATAGTTGTCTCGTTTTGTTTTCACTATGATGATGTTTTGTAATACAAAGCCTAGCCTATTACCTTTCATTTGGTTTAGGTTTTGTTACTTAACATAAGCCTCAGTTTGTCATGGTTTAGGTTTTGTTATTTAACATATTTTAGTTCCAGTAAAATAACTAAATATACAACAGCTTTTCTCCCGAGAATTTAAAAATTTTATCCTTTAACTTCTGCTACCCACAAATTTTCAATTAGAACCAGGGGACGTAATCGATTAGTCGTGAGCATCAATTACAGTCACGTAAATTAATCAATTAATTAAAATTATGATTAAATCGGTTGTCACAAAGGTAATCAGTACTATTTTCAATTGTTACTGTTTTTGATTATTCCAACAATCGACTAATTAAAATTATGATGCAATGGACTGTCACGAAAATAATAAACTAATCAAAATTTGGGCTTCAAATTATTCCTATTCTTTATTATTCTAAATATCCATGTCATCATAATATTGCTATTATGTTTGTTCTTGAACACAAAGCTACCTAATGAGTTATCTGTTCTCTGCCCAAATCTAGCCATAAAAGTTTTTTTTATATTTCACATTTGTTCAGCTCGTGAGTCAAACATTTCAGGTTCAACTCCCATTATAACTTGCTTAACCTGTCCTTGTTATGACAAGGCTACTAAGGCTATGTACCACTGTCACTCATTTTGAACTGTTCACTAGAAGGAAGGCAATTGTCTGGCAGCACATACTGTCAAACTTCTCAAAGTGCTGACTAGAATGAAGGCATGGCAGCATCTGTGCCAATATTTTTTTCTCATTCTTTATTATATATATATCAATATTTCAATACAAGTTCTATCATATATTTCTGGTTTTTTATATAAACATATTTATTCACAAGTTTATTATAATTTCTCAGGTGTTTTCATGAACAGTTTTATGCAATGTTATTTTTTCTGGATTTACTAAGGCAGAAAATAGTAAGATTAAGATAAGAAAGCTGCTCTCAGACAACTACAGGTAACAATATTAAATAATTTCTAACCTCTGGCTGTTTCAGATGGTGAGAAAGAGAAAGATAGTTTGGAATCTGTAAATCCAGACAACAATTTTATAAAAATTACGCAGGCAGAAAGACTTGTGGACACAATTTTAAAATGCTGAAAACTCAGAAATGCCTCCAGTTAAAGTAATGTTCATTTCTAATAGGGTCGGTTGGCTTACAAAATAGTTTACCCTGTAGCAGTAGGAGCAACAATATATGAGAAAGAATGAGTAGTTCGGAATAAAACAGAACTGAGCCAAAGAACTTCGAGATTATTGAAGGGAGGAGAGCCTTTGCCAAGGATGGTGCCAAAATCCTCAAGTGTATAGTAGCAGTAAAAGAGTATTGATATAATCTTTCATACATTAGATAACTGGTGTTTAAAAGCGAGAATTCTCAATAGCCACAGCATTTGAAATTCGTTTAGGCAGTAATAGAGTAAATTAATCAATGAGACCTTTCTTTCTTTTTATTAGCTGTATTTTTGTGCACCAGCAATACCAAGCATGGGGTGTGCATATACCCGATTCGATTTTATTACTCATCAGAATCTCTACCAGCCTACCCTCAAAATTGAAATTCTTTCAGGCAGGATCAGAATAAATTAATCTATGAGACTTTAGGCATGGTCAAATACATCAATCAATGGGGGATGTGGTTATAAAGGGGCCATCTATATAATCTAAAATCCATAGGCAGTGAATTAGGTAACTTAGTTGTATGTCTTGTATGGAACAGCATTTCATTTTTCATCTGCTTCAGGTATGTGATGGTTGACCAGATATGTCACGATAGCAACTTGTGTTACATTTTCTAGATGGAAATCCTCATTGTTCACATATAAACTGTTGCCTGGAACATGTGAATGCCTTTTGCCACTGACTTAGTTTTGTGGATTCCCATATGTTACAAAATGATGCACTTTTCTTATCATGGCTGGTGTATGACTTGATGTAGGTCTCTTTCTGGATGATCCTGGTATCCCAAAATGATACAAATTCCTTTTGTTTTCCAATGCTATTAAGTATGAAGGATATCCTTGTTTTGAAATTTCTAAGCCCACTAATCTGAACACATCTTTATGGACTAAGCATAGGAATATTTTATCAGAAAGGGTTGTAACATACCCTTCCAAAAAGCATCTAATTTTCAGTATCATTACACTACCTATGAATTGTCAATAGCTTAACTAGAGTCATGTCAATACCTTAACTTGCACCTAATGTTATTACTACAAGCAAATTGTTGGATGGTAAAAAAAAAAAGTGTTCACAATGCAATCTAACAATAAGACTAAAGTCTAACAATAAGAATAAAAACTGAAAATATCGTAATGAGCAAAGCTAATTAAACATACTCTTCATACTGTTACTTATAATTATTAGAATGAACTGTTTCATCAATTAATGAGTTATGTACCCTTATTTTTCACAATATTCTTGGCCATAAACCAAATAGCATCTCATGAAGTTCGGCCAGCCCAGGAGACTTATGTAAATAGTAAATCCATATACTAAATTAATAATGCAAATAGGCATTATAATAAAATGATAAACAAAAATGAAATTAAAAATAATAACTTAGTGAAAACATATCAAATATTCTAACCAACTCTGTATTTCCAAGTCAGAACTACCACAATGTGGTAAAAGTTTCACATGTTTAGGCTATGTCCGAGTAAGAATCGCTACACAGTACACTGTGGTAAGATGTACTTGGCTTGACCAGGTTAGTAGATTTGGGTCAGTGTTAAATCCATAAACTAAGCTAACAATGTGAAATAATCATTATTAGTTATAAGAAATACAAGAACCCATACTTTTAATGAAATTAGTCTTAAAGAATGGATAGGGTATAACCACAGTAATTAGAAAATAAAAATAGTCCACTGCTCAAAAAATCTGCTAAGATTGAGAAAGCTACAATCTATAAATAAAACAGTGTCATTGCACCCAGGACATGCAAAATTCATGTTACTGTTGAACATTCTATTAGATAACAAACGAGTAAGATTACATCTTCCAGGAATCACCTTCTTTGCTGGACGTAAAAATGTTATTGCCCATCTCTACTATACAGCTATCTTTACCACAAGAAAGTACATGTGACACTTAGGGCCAATTAGGGGGAGGTCAAGAGGACCATTTGACTCAGGCCTCAAGCTTAAAGGGAGCCTCAAATTCAGACACGTTACTTTTTCTAGTTGTTAAGTTTCGTGACTTGTTTTTATGTACAGGTAAAGGCTAGAAAATCATTTATCAAATGTTAATAAATATTTATGTTAATTAAAAAATATTAATTATGTTTCTCTTTTCTAATGATTGTCTGATTTCGTTTTTATTTGCCATCATTTTTAATTTTATTATAGACAGGAGCCTCAAAATATACAAGTAGCCCAGGCCTTCTCAGAGTTTTGGAAAAATCAATGAAGTGTTTGACTGAAATACTACGTGAAACTTTAAAAACTATAGTATAGAAAATTAAATGTGGTGTTTTTTTATAATAAAGAATAATGAAAATAAATTTTTAACGGTCCTTTTAGAGTGAACTGGCTTAGATAAAAAATACTATTGCTACTGATTACAATAAAAACTTGAAATTAATTTTTTTGAAAACTGTAAAAAGTTTGCAAGTTGCCTTAAAAATTAATATTAGTAATTTTCAAACATGTCAGCCATGCTGACAATAACAATACGAGTCACATGATCTTCAGCAGATATAAATTTCTACGAATTATCACATTTTTTTTTATTTTTAGTAAGCTATCAAACTTTTGATTTGTGTTTGTGATAACCTTTATATTTCATGACAGGAAATGAAAAAAAAATTATAGACTAGTTACTCTCACTAGGGCCTTACAATGTAAAGCCCATGCATTCCATCATTGAGCCATTGCACTTTATAATTGGGACATTTCAATTCCACAATGACCCCGCAGATATCAACCAAGCAGGGAATTGCCAAAAGACACCTTAAGAGACAGTCATGGGTGATAAAAGTTTTCAGACGGCTTGACTGGGTAATGAAAAAACTTTATTATGAATTTACAAGATTCTGTTATCCTCAAGTACAAGTAATTTATAGAGCTACATGAGGTGTTGATTTAAGATGGGGCTGTTTTCTTAAATTAAGATAGCTTCTTTTATTTTGTGTTTATTTATGTTAGGTTCTTTGTTTAAAATTACAGTGTTTTGCATGGATATACTGTGGTTTCTTGAGTTGCAATGGTGGTAAACATGGGAGGGTTTTTTATCGTGATCAGTAAATCTAGTTTCCAATTTCCATCTGTTTCTTTGATGTAACATTCTGGACAGTTATTGCATGTTATTTTATAAAGTGGGTTCCTCTTACTGCTATTTTTTTGTCAGTCCTTGAATAGTGAGCAGGTATCAGAGGATTGGAAGTTAGCTAATGTAATAACTCTTCTTTTCAAAGGAGGTGATAAAAATTGTCCCAGTAATTATATACCCATTAGTTGTGGGATATATTTTGGAAAGTCTGTTAAAAGATGCTTTGCAAAGTCATTTAACAAAGATTAGAACTTTATTGGATAGTCAACGTGGTTTCACTAAGGGAAAATCTTTTAAAATTCTTTGTAAAGGTTACTGCTTATATAGATGAGGGTAAGGGTGTAGATTTGGTGTATCTGGATTTTCAGAAAGCATTTGACAAGGTGCCACATAAAAAGCTTGTAAAAACATTAGCTCTATAGATGTGGGGAATAAGTTAGCAAATTGGATAGAAGAGTGGCTGTATGGAAGAAAGCAGAGGGTTGTTACAAATGGAGCTCAGTCTTAAGACCATTGCTCTTTTTGATTTACTTCAGTGACATATATGAAAGAATGGTCAATAGGTCACTTAAATTTGCAGATGATATTAAGGTCTTGGGTGTTGCTAGCTGCGAAGAGGATGCTGCTAATTTACAAAAAGATTTAGATCATTTAGATAATGCATGTGGATTATAATTTGGATGGGAATAACCTAAACAGTGTCATGAAAGAAAGGGATCTTGG